AAAAAGGGACCTATGACAATTCAGGAGAAAGGAAATAAATGGTTGCAAGCTTCCCCATTAATATCTGATAGCTGCTACGAAAGATCTGGGAAACCTCTGTCAAAATAAGATCAAAAGTTACCTCGTTACAGAAGCAGAAGAGACGGTTAAAAATAGGCACCACCATATACTTCAGGACAAATACATACACTCTAAAAACACAAGAAAAATTCCAGTAATAGCTCATCAAATGAAGAAACAGGAATTCAGACTAAAAAGACACATGGCAATGCCGTTCATTCTGAGTTGCAGTCATAGCCCACAGTGCTATATCCCATACTGTTCTGGGTACCAGTGTATTTCCAGTGTTTTTCCTCAACTAAATCACATAATTTGGACATGTGTTTCCTGCTCCTGGATTAACTGACAATTACCGAATGTAATTCTTTTTAGCACTGTGCAGTTTCTTTGTGAGAAACTTATGAGACAACAGTTCTCCATGTATCAAATATGCTGTATTTCCTGCTTCCTGGTAAGAATTAGCTTTGCTCGTATATGATGCAAATAACGAGTAAATATCTTTTTGACACATGTCAAAATGTGAGCTGTTTCTCAGATTACAGAAGCAAAATGAAGACCTTACTCAGGTACACACACTTACAGCTACACTAATTTGAATAAGATAAAGCCACTTCATCATAAAACCAGTTGAACATTCAGTGAAGCAATGGTTTCACATGGTTAAAAAAGTAATAATAAAGGATTGCAAAGAAGAATTTAACAGTTTTCATAAAGGATTTATTTGCCTACTGCTCTGCCACCCTCAGCAGAGCTCCCTAGGAGTTTGCCTACCAAGTGGAAAGAAGAACAGTTGGCTGCTCAGGTAGCCCTCTACAAAGTGCTTGGGAAAAACACCTCAGAAAGACAAACCAAAAATCAGTGCTCGATAAAGGGGATGGGATCCAAAATAGACTAGCATGAAATCCTAAACAAGGAAATGTTTCTTAATGCTCGCATCTTGAGTTAAGATACTGCACGACAATATGCATATACTTTGTTCCACTTGGGATGGGGAGTCTAAACCTGTCTCCTACACATGAATCCTCAAAAGAGCTTACTATTTTCCTTTCTAAACTCAGGAAGTAGAGAACAGTTGAAGGACCAGCCTTTCTCCATCTACTCATACTCAGTCCCATGCCTCCCATCTGCTGGGAGTCCGAGTCCTACGTACAGGTCTTAAAGTCCCACTTATGTTTAATTTAAGGAAACAGAGAAAGCTACACTATAATTGTAAGGACATTATTAGTAAAAATAAAAAAGCACCACAGTGTAAGCATATCTGTTGGCAAAGTACAAATAAGCAGAATACAAGGCTGAGTCTAAAGACAAAAAGTGTCATGTAAATAACTCTGAGAGTGTTTTTAAAGTATTATGGTTCAAGTGTTATCACCTTGTAAACCTACACAAGCCAATATATGAGCACAAAAGAAAGACATTTATCAAGGAGTGTACATAGTATGATGTTACAGTATTTTCTTTTAATATAGAGAGCATCCATGTGGCCAGTAAGGCAAGTCAAAACTTGCCATGTTCTTGACAGATGCAGCAGACTTGGGGAACAATTTCACTTGCAGACCACTCTGGAAGTGACCTTCTGTGATCCCTACATCAAACAGCAGCATTCGATCTAAACATCTTACACAGCTCGTTCACAGCACGGGGCAGCTCCCTCTGCATTAAAGCACACCAGTTTAACCAGGCTCATTCAAGCTGCAAGATCTAAGGCTGTTGTTTACACTTCCTAGCATAGGCGAGTATACAGCTATTAAGAATAGCAGTCCATCAATTTATTTCTTCAGGGCCAAATTCTAGTTCTACTAAAGATCAGTAACAAAAACAAAACAGCAAAACACACAGCTGTTTGACTACCACCACGGTCTGGCATTTATTTGTTTAAAAAATCAATCAAACAAACAAGTTTGTTTTCTAATGTTATCAGTTCTCCCACAGCTTTTAGTTTACTGTCACTTAAAACGTCCATTCCAATGTGAAAACAAAACAAAACAAAACAAAAAACAAAGATGACCTGGTGTAAAAATCACTTACTGTACTGAAATACACAGGTTGATTTATATTTGGAAATAATCCTATTGGCTAACATTTAACAATTGATTACTACCAATTTATTTACTTAGAACCCACACAATCTACTATTTACTTAGAATACACCACCTATTGTTAAAAGTTTACCTTGGTAGGATTTTCATTTGACATTTAAAGATTTAAACACAGCAGTGCAATGGTATGTTTTTGTAGATCTCCAAAAGAAAGCAGCAGCACCGTTGTGCACACAAGGATCTGTCTGATATCTGTTTGAGAGGAGCTGCTGCAATAAAATGGTAAGTACTCCCATTTTAAGTTTATAGCCAACTCCCTGAATTATTATGTGCCTCAGGAAGGATCATGTATGTTTATTCCTAATACCCCTCCCTGCATACCCACTTCTCTGTAAATATTGTTAAAGTCACAAGCACTAATTCTGTGACCAGCATCAAATGAATTATGTTCTCTTGAACTGTTTAACAGGTTTGATTCTGTCTAAATATAAGTGTTCACAGTTTTATAGTAAAGACTCATTAGCTGTAAATAATAATATAAAGTGACTTTTCAAAATTCACAAACTTAAATATTTATCAGATTTTATCAATACTTTTTGTACAACATGGCTACATTAGGAGCATAACTTTTCTTCTTATGCTAAACAGACAACATTATTATACTATAATAGTTAATACTCCATTAATTTTGGCAGCAATAATTGCTCAGGACTGAAACCTGTTGTAAAAGATGCAAGTCAAGCCTCCTACAAACATTTCCAAACGTTTATGTCGTAAAAGCCACTGATACTACAACACAATTGAGTACAACTACTTTACAGTTGAATTTTATCTCTACCTTCCAGATCCAAACCTCATAACCCCCTTGCAAAGAAGTCTTTTTATGGTATCAGGGAAAATTTTGTTTAGACACCTCATTGGTGATTTGGTCTGCTTAAAATAAACCAAAAACTATCACTGGAGTTTTGGAAAGAAAGTCAGTATCAGAGAAACTGGTAAAAAGAAAACCAAAGAAAATCTCATTGCACCCTCTCAGTAATTCAAGCACTGGAGAGAGCACAGTAGTTGAAGCAGTTGGCTTGGTGATGTGAAAGAGTTTGGTACTAACTAAACGGAAAACAGATTTGCATCCCCATGTCAATCTCTTCTTATTTCTTTCAAATAACACTAAAACATAGCACTATCAGTCACTGAGAAAGACTTGCTATAGTGCCAGTTACCTCCGTCCCTGAAGGTAGACGAAGTCCACTTCATTACTGTTTTCTTGTCCTAGAGCTACTCTTTAAGTAGCCTTCTGTAGCCTGCTTCCCATGGAAGAACAAAGCCTACCTCAAAAAAACGTTCATAGGAATGTCTTGCTCAATCATCTTGTAACTTGTGGTGAGCAAAAGCCTGGATCCAAAAGGAAAGTCTATCAAACTCATGTACAGAATTAGAATTTGGAAATGTTACCCAATTTAATGAAAGGTTAAACTGGACAAAAAGGACCATCATAAACACCTGTTTCTAAAATCATATACTGACAGAGAGGGCACAGGCCCACAGGCAAAACTACAACTGCCTAGCCCTAATTTCATTGACACGATTCTCCCACTGCTACTGGAAAGATGTATTGATTTGTCTTTGACTTCAGAGCAGCAAAGTCCCCTACCTCAGTCTCAGTTACAGCATTATTCTTCATCTACTTCAAGTTGTCTGAGAATCAGCTGTGCAGTCAAGACCAAACTGAACAGTGAATTTCATACCTTGCACTCATCATCACAGCACACTTGCTTTTAGAGCATCACTTGGAGAAGCTCGGAAGACTTGCTGCTGTGTCCTGCTGGTTCTAAGAAACTTCGGCTGTTGCTGGCTCCAGCAAGTTCACCAGTTTGGCATTACACTAAAGCCCCAGTGCCTCCATTTCTGACCCCTTCAAACAAAAACAAGCTGCTCAACAATGTCTAATCCGTGCGTCATGTAATCCCGCTTAATACTCTACAAACTCTGGGTAATATTTGGGTAGTTTTTAAATTTAGCAAAGAACATCCTGGCCTACTTCAAAGACACCCTCGCCTTGGGTAGCATCCGCTAGGAACGTCACCCAGACGCATTTCAAACAAGAGAAGCAAACGAACAGGAACACAGAAAAAATTACGAAAGACAAATTAAGACCCCCCTGGCCTAGTGACGTAATAAAAATCTGGAATACTACAAATCAGATGCCTGGAGAATGAACACGTTATGCAACCACAAAGCACTACATCCACGTATAGGTAAAGAGATGTCCTTTTTAACGCAGCCTCAGGCCCACCAGGCAGCACGGGACCGAGCCCCCCGCCAGCACTTCAGACTCCCCTGGGGACGGCTGACAGGTAAATCACGCACGTGCTCCGCTCCTGCCATCCACGCAGAGCTAGGAGGTAGGAAATTGGATGTCACTCTGGTGGAGTAATGGAAAATCCCTTCTTTGAGGCACCCTTCACTTTCTGCAACGCAATTATCTCAGAAGCGCCTCTCACCCACCGCAAGCGCTTCCGAAGAAGCCCCAAATTAAATTCCACGGTAATTCTCGCGTATACCGTCCTGACTGTCCTTCCTCAGATCTTCCAGACCCTGGCTGAAGGACAAACGCGATCCTGTTTTGTTTAGGCTGTCAGGCAGACAGCCTCCCATCATTAGCCTTTTGTCAGCAGCGATGCCGGGGTAGATTACTAGCGCAGCGCCTGTCGTGGCAGGTGCATGGCCCTGGGGCTGCCATCTGCCAGGAAGGAAGTGTTCTCCTCTAGGATGCTGAAGAGATTGACAAAATGTAAACAAAACACTGAATCATTCCTAATCTATGGAATCGAGCTCTTACGTTGCTCTTCCGCAACGTGGACTGTACGATCAGAGGTGGGGGCTTTGGTCTGGGGCTTGCTTTTCTTTTTTTTTTTCTTGACTATTTTTTGATTGGTTTACTGAAATAATGCACTCTAAACTATTTTTTACATCAGCTGAGACACACAAATCTGGATTTGACAGGGAACAAACAAACCTAGTACCAGAAACACATATTTTAGAAATTACTCCCCTGCTTTCAGCTTCTGATGTGCTTCTTCACATCCTTCACTGTGTGCAAAAACTGTGTGTTTTTTTGTTTGTTTGTTTTTTAGTATTTTTGATACACCTATACAGAATTTCAGGCTGCCATAGCTGATAAAAAAGTGATAATTTGTTTTGAAAAAAAACGGAAGTTTGAAAATAAGAAAAAATGGAGAGATAACAAGTTGGAGCATTGTCTTTGGTCTTTTTAAATTGATTTCCAACTGGATCCCTCACGATTAGACCAAGCTATTTATTCTAAATTCTGCTGGTTTTGCTTTGACTGGTGCTGGTGGTCCGTTTTGCATTGCCGGGGCCAGGCAGCAGCACTTCTCCAGACAGAGGCAGAGGCACTTACCGGAGGAGTCACGGTAATGACTTTAGGAGCATTACTGCTTCGTGTCCAGCACAGTGGTGTGCCTTCTCCCGTTCTCCTCAGAGGTTATTCTATTAGCACCCTACACTCAATGAAGTGTATTTTTTAAGTTATCCTCCATAAAGGTGCAAGTAATCCTTATGTTGCTTTTTCCAAGTTTTCAGTCATGCTATCAATGCCTAAGCCCCAAATACAAATACAGCCCTGCAACTAAGGGACTCATCCTGAGTACATGAGTGTGCAAACTGCACGTAGCACCTATACCAGTCATCCAGGTTTCTTCCAGAGCTGACAGAGATGCAGTCAAGCTGAGGGGAAAATTCATGCTGCTTTCTAGTAGGAATTTAAAGTAGGTGGGAGGAGCCTTGGTGGCTCTGTTTACTCCTGCTGATTGTAGCGAGTGCCTAGAGCACTACTGGGAGATGCACACGGTCAGGCAGCAGAGACAAATACCAGTGTGAAAGCAAAAAAAACAACAAAAGTTGCCCTTTGGACAGGCTCCAGGAGGAAAAACAGTCTTTTCAGCAGTTGGCAGCAAGGAACTACTCAGCTGAACTTGGCTCTTCGAGGCTGCCACTCTTGACCCCCTACATACATACACACAAAAACTTTAAAAATAACTGCGTACCAGACAATGCGCACACAAGCAAAACACGACTGAACTCTGGGGTCAGTGCACCATCTTGTAAAAGTGAATGGATGCTACTGATTTCCATGCACACACAGCTCACTTCTAAGCAAACACTCTAAGCAACAACAAAACAACAGAGTTGTGAAACCCAAAGAATCGCACATCGCAGTTCATCAAATAGGCTGCTCACGTGATTCTGTTACTACACGCACTTTGACACCTACACACAAAGAGAACAAGTGGACAACCACTGTAGTTCATACAACACCTCAACAAACTGGGGAAAAAAAAAGATACAGCCATTTATTTATATGTTCAGTACTTCAAAAAGAAGCATATTATTGATGCTTTCTCGGTGCTTTAAAGAAAATCTGATATAACCAGAAAGTACCTGAATGTATCTATGCTGCCACTGACCTGATGAATAGGGAGGAAAGTTACACTACATACACTGAGGATAGCACAATTTTCTGTGGATGCTTGCTGTGTTTAAACTTTTACACCACTTCAGCATCCCGGTATAATTAACACTATTTAAAACTAATAGTAAAGTGAGTGTAAAGAAACCCATGTTATTCTCCCCTTATTACAAAAACAAAACAAAAAAAGAACCAAACACCACCATATAAAACATGTCCTAATGCTCCCTCTGTTCAAACATTCCTTCATCCATTTTACTCACAAGTGAACGTTAGTCTCTGTAGCTATCTTGAAAGAAATCAAGTAATCAGAAGCAATCATCAACCTAAGCATTTCCTCTGCCTTGAGCAATGACTGTACCGGTTCATTTTAGAACAAACCCACTATTCAACTCTGTCTATAACAATTTATCTTAAATGACTCAAAGCAACCATGACATTCTTTATATGAACAGTATAGCTAAACATAATTTAGAGTATAAAGCAAAATAGAAGTCTAAAACGTGTTACAAGTTTTAATATTCTGTCTGCTTGTAAAAAGCTGACGTCCGTATAATCAACATCATTTAAAATATCAAAGGCTTCATTTCATCTCAGATAAACTCAGTTTACATTTTGTTCAATGAATGGCTCTGCTTGGTTCAGACCTAACCATTTTGGTGTGGTCACCTGTAAAATGCAATTTTAGAGACAAGAAGTGCATTCATAGAGGCAGCAAGAGACAACCTCAGACTTTTAATTCTTAGTTCAAGAGGTGAAATCCAACTACGTAAGCTATTAAGAGTAGTTCAGTTCTTTCGGGTGTTAATTACAATGTTCTCAAGGAAGTTGTCAGTAAGAGAAAATACTACACTTACAACTACTTTATTCAAAGAAGATTTTAAAACATGTACAGATTTCTAACACAGCACATAGTTCTTTCAATTCTTTTAAGGAGTCATTTAGAAACGAATGCAAGTTCTGGAAACGAGACAATTAAACATTCTCATGCCGCTCTGAGAACCAAAACTTTATGGCATTTGGCACAGTAGAAGGGAAAAGATCTTAATAATTCATTGTGCAAAGTAATCTAAAAAGAAAAAGGAAACAAGGGTTATGTATTAAATAATCTGAAATGCCATTAGAAAGACACAGGAAGAGATTTCTTAAGATAGGCTTTTTATTGTTTAGGCGCAATCATAAAACCCTCACAAAAGTAAGAGCTAATTGACAAGGGGGAGGTTCATTATTATCAAAAATCACCTTATTACGATCTTAAGTAGATGCATTACAGCTGATGACTACTTTAAATAAATCAAGACAAAGGAAACTAACAGAGGAGGAAACCACCCTCTGTTTTTTTGCATCATTATACATAGTATCTGTTCAGTTTTGGAAAATTAGACCAACTACTAGAAGCATTTAAAAGTTACAGAGCATTTTGTTAATAGAAAACACAATTGAAGATAACACACCCAAGTATGGTGTTTTCACTCAAGCAAAATTCCCTATTACACACCCACTGAATTTAATGGGAATTTCACTTAGGAATTCCAGGATTACACACAAAGGGTAAAATCTTGACCCCACCGAAATTGAGACAAAGCTCCCACTTGACTTCAGTGGAGCTAAGATCCACCATAAAAACTCATCTCATCGTTGGGTGTGATCTGTCATAAATACAGTGGAATAAATAATTTACACTATATGTGAAAATAACTGTAAACGTCTCCATAAATAACAAAAACCATACACAGTTCATACTTTTTTAAAGCAAAAAAAGCAATCATCATATAAGAACAAAGGCTAGCTAATTATCAGCATGTAACAAGAGTTTTAACTGACTGGTAACAGTATTATTTTATTTACATGTTGGACGAAGGCAAGCGTTTTCCCAGATTCTTAAGCATTTGCACACTTTCAGAGTACAGTGAAACTAAATGAGCTGATAATTTCAAGCAACCTTTTGATTTTTCTGTTTTCACTGCTATTGTGGTGGCAGGAGCTTGCTCTTGTCATGACAGGAGAGAATCCCAGAAGCGCAGCACTGCTACAGCAGAGGTCAGGTACTGGCAGAGGAGACAAGCTACACGTGAAAACCAATCACTTCCAAATGGTACAGATAATTCCCATTCAAATTTTTATCCACATGAAAACATGTTAATTGCTGCAGACCTTTAGGAAGCATTCAGATTTATTTTTTTTTCCATCTTTTTTTTTTTTTTAAATGTATTTTACTCTGAATTACGAGATTGTTCATCTATCCTGTATCTGAACTGTTCCCCTGTTCCAACTACTAAACATATATGGATCCTCCATTGTTTTTAAAAAAACTCCCTAGAAAACTCCCTCTTTAGTTTTGAAGAAGTAAGGCTTCCCCCTTTGATAATATATTCAAAAACAACATCTGAAAAAAGTGCAAAGAGCTAAGTAAACAATGCTGACTATATACAATATAAGCAATCTCTTGTACAAACCATTACTTTACTAAATCAGATTCTCCCAAATCTACCAGAATTACTTCTGTGTTAAAGTAAGTTTACTCTTCCTTATGCACAAATATGGTTTTCTTTAAATTGTCTATGTATTTCTCTGCAGAATATGAAAGTCTTAATAATCTCCCAAGCCACAACTTTTGATATTTAAATACACTGGCACAACACTAAGTCATCTTTTTAACAGTGGCAGAAGCAGCTCTGTAAACAAACTTCAGTGTGTAATCCTAACAAAAAACAAAAGAGAAACTCAGAAATTTGCACAAGTCGATCCTACATACACTCCTAAGATTCTCTGTGATATATTCCTACTTTCCCATGCTATGACTCTCCCAGTCAGTCTGCCACAAACACAACTGGCATGAAACCCTGCGTTTGACATATAACCCAGAACGCTGCTGAGGGATGCTTGTGCAAGTTTTTTCTTACCGCCCTGGCCTGATATTGGCTACAGCAATCCCCGAGCAGAGCGAGACTGCACCGATGCGCAGTAGGCGGACACATTTTTCAGGGAAACAGAAGGATGGGAAGGAGAGCTTTGCCTCCTACGTGGAGATTAAACCTCGACGAGTTTACCCAGAACGCTTCTGGATGCGGTCGACATTTATAAGCTTAAAGGAAACGGGGGAAATAAATACACATGCAGATTACATATTAAAGTAAGTCTATAACCACCCGTGGATAAATATACAATTAAACCCTCTCCTCTGTACACCGTGTACCAAATTAACGTGGCTGTGTTTATTGCATTACCCTTTTGTTTACTTTGTCAGAAGGACAGCAGTCAATTCCCCCAGCTTATCTGGCTGATCGGCTGCTCTACTCCTGCTTTCCGCCTGGGTGATGGAAACGCCGCCATCCACGCCAGGTTTTCTCTGTCACTGGCTCCCGCTCCCCTCCCCCTGCTCCCCCTCTGCCTTGGGGTCAGCAGTTTGGAGACTGTTGTGGAAATCTCTCCTTCCCAGCACCCCCTGGCTTGCAGTCGTAGCCATAGGTGGCTCAAGACAAACCCCTTGTTTCTGTGAAAAATTAGTTTTGTTTTTTTTTTTTTTTGCAAAGAAACGTGCACGGTCGTTTGCCAGTGTCCTGGGCTGCGGTCCCAAAGCTGGCCTTTTAGATGGCAACGCCACCAGTAATTGCAGCATCCACAACGCTTTAGGTCAAGACACGCGAATCCCAAAAATGTCTCCAGCAAAAATAAAAGCAACTGACAAGGAACACTCTGCACCCAACCCTTCGAGTCATTCAGAGTAAGCGTTCATCCTTTAAAACTTTGCCATTTCATTCAACAATCCTCTCGTCTTAATTAGGTTCAAAGCTCGCTCTGCCAACGGTGGATCTCTCATCTTTTCCATCTTCCTGTACTTCCTATCAAAAGAGAAAATATTTTCTTCTTCAAAATCAGCTAGCTAGTTAGAAAACAGAAGGAAAAAAACCGCAAGTGTAGCTCTACAAGCTGTCAGTTTCCGAGTATGATTGACGACCTCTGTCAGCACTGTGAATGCAGAAGCAATACCTATTTACCTCCAAGCAACTGCTTCTGCACGGTATGTCATTTCACCCCGCTGGACCCATAAACATCTATTACAGCTATATATGCATACAGGTTTAAAGTACCATGTCTTGCATAAATGCAACAGCAAAGAGGATCCCTACGGTGCCTCATCATTAACTTTTAATCCTTGACAGATTGGCTGCTCTGGGCCCTCCCCAACTAGCGCTCACTTGTGTACGAATTCTCGCTTGTTAAGAGGAGGCGGGTTGCTATTTGAGGGGGGGGGGTTGCTCTTTGTTCTTTCCTAAAGGAAAAAAAAAAAAAGCAAAAAGCAGGAAAACCAGCACCTCAACAAAGGAACAGCTACATAATTAAAACAGAAATTCTCCCTCGGCCCCCCGTTTCGGGTTTCTTAGGCTTGCTTTTGTCTTCGAGCAGCCAGTGTTTTTTCGACCCGCTCCCAAGCCCGCCACCCAGCCGGTGATTCCCAGCGGGGCCCCGGCTGCACGCCACCACCCTAGGGTCGGCCTCGGAGCAAAATGTGCAACGCGACATGGAACAGCTCAGGCGTACGGCGTCTTCTGGAAAGGCTTTTTTTTTTTTTTTAAGAAAAAAAAAATTCACATTCCATGCTCACCATGATTTACTGTTAAACTTTTGCAAGAGATAAGAGATTTCAAAATCAAGATATTAAAATAACCCTCCTCGTTTTGTTGCGACTGACCTTCCCAGCTAGAGTGCCAAGGATTTCTCTTTCTGTAATCTGATGGTCTCACTGCAACAATTCTGCTTTTTAACTCAATCGTTTTACATTTTTAAATGGTATGTGGAAGCTGCATTAACAGGAACTATTTTGGTCACAATTTCCAAACGCTTGCTGAAAACCTTACATAAGAAAACTCTTAAGTATAACCCAACCATGGTAACAGCGTAAACATCAGCTCCTATTGGGGTACCCAGAAGTACACACTTGTAACAGCACAGCAGAACTTACACGTGAAGCAATACCCCCCAATTAAACTTTTCCCTCGTACAAAGAGAAAGCCAGTTCCCTCCAGGACCGCTGATTACGGGATGGGTTTGGGAAAAGGGATTTTGAAGGCAGGAGGCAGGGGAGTGCTCTCCGCGACAAAACAGGGTCCACCCGTGAGGAACAAACACGTTTAAGCAAAGCCACACACGTGGCAGGCACCGCCAGGCGTAGCTACTCACCTTTCACAGCACTTGCTTCTTTCAGGTTGTGAGACAGAAAGTCTATGCTGGCATAGGCGCTCGTCTCCACTCCGTTGATACCTCCTTTCAGGACGTGCCTGGCTTTCGACCTGGCTTTGTCACAGTTTGCCAGGGTCCCGTCCACCACGTCGATGGCGATGTAGTTGAGGCCGTTCTGGAAGCCGGCTGAGGTCTCCCGGCACATGGGGCTGCTGCCCTGCTCCTCCTCCAGGCCTTCGCTTTTCCTGAGGGACACGTTCTCCACCGAGGCCGAGTTGTGCCTTTTGGGGTTGTGTGCAAAGGAAGGGGACACGGGGGTCACAGTGGTGGTGGAGGAGAAAGTTTCCGAGCTGTGCCTCCTGCGCCCCTGGGGGTCGGCCCGAATGACCTTGGCCCCGCGGTTGGGGTCTGGGGGCGGGCTGGCAAGAATGAAAGCCTCCACCCCGGAGAGGGTGAGCCTCTTCACCCCAGCCGTGGGGCTGGTGACCCGGGCACTTTCTGGCTTCTGAGCGATGGGTTGGGGCGGGGTGGTGGCCATGCCAAAGGTCATCTCGGTGTAATCCCCGCCGTCGGACGGGCTGGACAAACAAGTCACCCCCACAGCCGCTTTCAGGTAGCGCCCATCAGGCTGACTGGTGCTGGAGGAAGAGCCTGGTGAGAGCGCTTCCAAGGAGCCCACCGAGACCGTGCCCGACTGGGAGGGCGACTGCGACCCGAAGTCAATGTTCATGTAGTCGGAGAGGGGGGAGCGCCTCTGCCCCGTGCCCGAGCCCAGGGAGGAGGCTGGGCTGTCGGCGGGCAGCGAGGGGGGAGAATAGACAGCGGCATCCCCGAAGTCGATGTTTATGTATTCCCCGGGGCTCTTGGGCTCGGGAGGCAGGGGGTGCTCGTTCATGCTGGGCAGCATCGTCCGCAAGGTCTCCAAAGAGAGGCGGCTGGGCCGGACCGCCCGCTGGCACCGCTGGCTCAGGAAGCTCTCGGTCCGGCTGTGCCGCAGGGGCGAAGGCACCGTGTGGCTGGAGGGGGCGAAGGGGACAGCCGGGGAGGGACCCGTGCCGCACACCCCCTCCTCCGGGATCATCCTCCCCGGGGAGTTCATGAAGACGTACTGGTCGCTGTCCTTAGCCAGGCCCTGACTCTTGTAGGAGCGGGGTAAGGAGCTGTAGGAATAGCAGCCGGGCTTGGGGGGCTCGCCGGCCCCATGCCCCGCAGGGGCGAAGAAGAAGTCCGGGGGGGTGAGGGAGGGAGCCTGGGGCCCGTGGTGGGGGTCCCGAGGGGACATGTTGATGTAGTCGCCGTTGCTCAGCCTCCCGTCCGAGCTCTCCACGGACAGCTTGGAGCCACACCACATCCTCATGTAGCCGCTGTCATCAGGGGAGCTCTCCCCGGGCGAGCTGGTCTTGTAGCTGCTCCCATTGCCGGGGGACCCGCCGCCCACCCCGGGCCGGGGCTGTAGGATCTGCTTGGGGGCGGACACGCTGGTGGGGCTCATGGGCATGTAGTCATCGCCTCCCCGGCTCCCCCGCCCCAGGGCTGCTGCCACCCCGGGGGTCATGGGCATGTAGCCATCATCATCCCCCCCACCGCCTCCTCCTCCTCCTCCTCCTCCTCCCCCCCCTGCCGGCGGCCCCAGGTTGGTGCTGCTGCTGCCGGAGCTGCGGTGCGAGCCGATCTCGATGTCCCCGTAGACCTCGGGGTAAGGGGTGTAGGTCACTTTGGGGGAGGCGGCGGCAGGGAAGGAGGGGAAGAGGCGGCCGGCGCTGCCGGCGAAGGAGGCGCGCATCAGCGTGTACTCGTCCAGGGAGGCGGAGGAGAGCTGCGGCGGGGGGGGCCTCTGCCGGCACGGGGTGGTCAGCGAGTATGTCCGCTTGCGGTGCCCCCGGTCGGCCGCCGGGTCGGGGCAGGGCCGGTAGCAGAGGCGGCCGCTGGGGGGTCTCTCCATCGCCATGTAGCCGTACAGCTCGGTGCCCCCGCCGGCGGCAGCGGGGTCCCGCGCCGGGGGGGTGTCGGCCACCGACTCGGGCGTGTTGCTGCGGTTGCTGGCGGTGGAGGAGGAGGAGAAGGGCCGCAGGTCGCCGCCGGGGCTGGAGCCGTACTCGTCGAAGGACATGAAGCCGGCGTCGCTGGGCGAGCCGGACACCGAGGCGCTGCCGCTGGACGGGCGCTGCGGCTGGTGCGGGTGCGGCGGCTCCGAGCCCAGCCCGCTGCTGGCCGACAGGCTGAGCGGGCTGGCGGCCGAGGGCGGCGAGTGCGAGGCGGGCATGGACATGGAGCGGCTGCCCTGCAGCCCGCCGCCGCCCAGCACCGGCAGCAGCTTCCCCGCCGGCCGCGCTGCTCCCGCTGCCCCTCCGGCACCGGCACCGCTCAGCGTGTGCGAGCGGCTCAGCGGGGTCCGCACGGGGCCGGGGCTCATGGGGCTGCCGGCGGCGGAGCCCACCCGGCAGCCGTCGCCCTCGCTGGCCGTCCGCACCCGGCAGGGCGTGCACTTGGGGCCGGCGGCCAGGCTGTCGGTGCGGGAGCGGCGCAGCAGCCCGGTCTGGCTGGGGGGCAGGTTGACCAGGTGGTGGTGGGGGTGGTGGGGGTGGTGGTGGTGGCGGCGGCCGGGCACGGTGATGGGGTGGGTGGCCGAGGACGGGGCGCAGCCGCCGCCGCCGCCCGCCCCGCCGGAGGAGGAGGAGGAGGAGGACTGGCTCTTGCTGCGGGGCCGGAACTCGGACAGCTCCTTCAGCGCCTTCATGGCCTCCAGGATGGTCTCGTGGATGTTCTGCGCCACCACCGAGTCGTCCGCCTGCATCCACAGCTCGCCGGGCCCGGTGGCGGCCGAGCGCCCCACCTCGATGAAGAAGAAGCTGTCCGAGTGGCCGCAGCGCCGGATGTTCATCAGCTGCAGCGTGACCGCCGGCAGCTCGCAGTTGAGCCGCACGAAGCCGATGGTGCGGGCCGACAGGCACAGCCGGTGCACGCCCGTCAGGTTCTTGCTCTGCCCCAAGCCCTTGGGCTTCAGCGTCACCTGCCAGACCTCCCGGTAGGCGGCGGCGGCCGGCGCCACCAGCCCGTAGCCCAGCTCCTCGCCGCCGGCCGCCAGCGAGGAGGAGGCGGCGGCGGCGGCGGCGCTGCAGGAGGCGGCGAAGGGCGACGGGAGGTGGCGGCGCGGCGAGCCCTGCCCGGCCGCCTTGCCCTCGCTCAGCAGGTCGGTGAGCGCCCGGTACCAGCCCTCCTGCTCCTGCTCGTTCTCGGCCGCCACGGCGAAGTACTCGTCCTTGGTGTAGAGGGCGATCAGGTACTTGTGCTTGGCGTCGGCGCGCTTGTTGATGTTGAGGCACGAGTCCAGGGCGATCACCCGCTTGGGCGCCCCGGACTTGTTCCTCCATTTCTTCTCGCTCTCGTAGTACTCCAGCCGGGCGCCCCCCGCCTCCTCCCCGCCGCCCGGCCCCCGCAGCACGAAGAAGCGCTTGTGGCCGTGCTTCTGCTTGCGCAGGTAGCCGCACTTCCTCACGCCCTGGTTGTTGTTGTTGTTGTTGTTCAGGTTGGGGCCGGGCGGCGAGCCCGAAGGACCCAGCACGGCGGGGCTCGCCATCCCCGGCCCCCAGGCGGCTGCCTGCCTGCGCCGGGCCGGGACGGGCGCCCTCGGCGGGGACACCGCGCTAGGAGGAGGAGGACGAGGAGGAGGAGGCAGCGGCTCCGGCTCCTGCTGCTCTTGCTGCTGCTGCCCCGGCTGAGCTGCCGGCAGCGCTGCTCCTGCTGCTGCTGCTGCTGGTGCCGGCGCTGCGAGCGCTTCCCAGCTCGCCGCGCTGCCGCTGCCGCTGGTGCTGCCTGCGCCGGCGGGAGCGTGGCAGTGAGTAACGCATCGCGCACCGAGTGCCCCAACTAAAGAGCAAAACAACACGTGACCGCCCAGTTACCGAGGCGCTCACACACCGCGCCGGGGGCGGCACCCCGCCGCCGCCGCCGCCGCCCCTCATTGGCCGCCGCGCCGCCAGAGCGACAGCCGCCGCCGCCAATCGCGCGGCGGGGCGGGCGCCGAGCCCAGAGGCGGCGCGCTGCCATTGGCCGCCGGGAGCCTCGCCTCCCCCCGCCCCCGCCGGCGGGCCCCTTCCCGCCCACGGCCCCCGGCTCCCCTCAGGCGCCGCCCGCGGCGGCGGCGGGACCCGGCCCCGCCCCGCCCCCGGAGCGTGCCCGCCTCGGGGACCGTTGCGACCGTTGGCGGGGCGTGAGGGGCAGGGTGGCCGCGGGCTCGCCCCTCCGCACCCCTGAAGCCGCAGCGGGCTGTGGGGGGGCTGCCGGCAGGTGGCGGCGCCCCCGGAGCCGGGCTTCCGGGCGTGTGCGTGTGCCCGCCGCCCCTCCTCCTGCCTCCTCACACACTCAGCCCCTCACACGCGTGTGTGTGTGCGTCAGCCCTCCCCACGCACGCACGCAGAGCGGCGCCCACCTCACGCCCCCCCCTCCCCTCCTTTTTCTCTCCTTCCCTCCTCCGCCCCGTTATCTGCGTGTGGTGGGGAAACGCCGCCCGGAGCGGGGACCGCATATATACATATATATATATATATATATATATATATATATTTATATATATATGTGCGATAAATGCAATAAAGTGGGGTTTAACGCCGCGGGGCTCACGCCTTTCCCTAAGTGGGGGTGCCCCCGCCTCTTGTACACGCACGGACAGAGGGGAGGAAAAGTGAGGCTGGGGTCACGCAAATTTTAAAAATAAATAAATAAAAGGGGATGGAGGAGGGGGGAGGCAAGCTGCCCGCAGCCTCCTTTGGCAATGAGCAGCTGAGGGAAGGAGGGGGAGAGGCAGGGGGAGACCACCGCGGTGGTGCCTAGCGCTGGGAGGCTGCCATGGAGCGGCTTGGCTGGGAGCTGGCGGGGTTTGGGTTGTGTTTTATTTTTTGGGGAAGCAAGGGGAGAAAGGCAGGAGGTGGGGGGGGCGAGGCCTTGACCTCTCTCCCCGGGGTGCCCGCTGTACGCTGCTGATGCAGCGGGTCACCCTGGGCAAGGTCCTCACCATCTCCCCGCGTCCCAGCCGAAAGCAAGGCGTGCTGACCCCGCTCGCTGTCCTGGCAACGGGCGACGGCTCCCGCGTCTGGAAAATGCGTGGAAGAGGCAGGGAATTGTGAATTTTAGATGACGCGTTGCGATGGCACAGCGGACCTCAGCGCGGAAGGTTTCCCATGGAAAATCAGGCGCAGTGGCTGTGCTACCGCTAGGCTGTCAGCTGCAGGCTTCAGGGGCGTTAGGTGAGCAATTTCTTGCTGCTCCGAGCGAGCTGGGCCCGTAAACGCCATCAGGAGTCATTTGTCTGGAAACCCCTTGCAAATTTGGAAAGATTTTTCCAGACGTTTATGAAATACACTCGGTGACCTTACGCACGCATTCTTACATCTGACATGCTAAAGAAGATGAATATTCATTTGTCTAAATGGTATTTTCATATATGTAAGTCATTACGATACGTTCAATAAACGTTTTGATGTACTGACTAACAGCAGAACTAAGCAAACAATTTGTATGACAGGCATTGAGATAGACTAGCAATCAGGATTGATTTCTATATTGACATTGATATAAAGAGTATCTGTATCATTTAATTTTAGCAGTGGCTGATGCATAACAAGCTTTTTTTTTTTTCCCCTAAAATAACATTTTGTTTGTTTTTGTTTTGTTTTTCATGTATAACTGTTTCAAAACACAGGAAGTGGTTCTCAGGTGTGCATAAACTTCAGGTAAAAACAACAACAACAACAACAAAATCACAACTATTGTTGCATGACCGACCCTCTAGAATGAATGACCCTAGTTTACATAGGTGATCTACCTCATTCAGAGTTTGCTTTGAACTCCTCTGAATTGTTTTTCAAAACTATACCCCCTTCTGGAAAGTTTTCCCAGTCATTTCAGTGTAATTACGGGGGCATTTAATTGAAACAAATGGACAAGCACCACTGCTCCATCCCATCTCTCTGCCACAGTTCACTGTCCCTACAGGCTGGCATATCTTATGCATCAGCCATTTCCATGTGTCGTGTGGCATACTAGCTTTAATTTTTTTAATTTCCAATGAGGCAGGCTATGAATTTGGGTGGCTGAAGCATAGCACTTGTTCTCCTGTTCCACTGAGCCATCTCAGGAAGAACACAGGGTGGCAAATAGGGACAGCAGCATCTTCAGTAACTGCAATAGATTTGCCAGAGGATGTTTGCTTAAATCATCTCCAAAGAATAATTCCATCATGATGAAAGAAAAAACAATCTTGTTTTACCTCTCCCATTCCTTTTCTTCTGTCATATCACCCTGCCCCATCTCTGTTTCAACACATTTATCTTCTAGCTTGAAGTCTCTTCTGGGAATGCTTTGCCAATATATGAAGTAGACCAACAAAATACTGCTCATATTAACAACTTTCATGCCTGCTAAACTGTGCTTTTGCCAGCATACCGTGTTCCAGCTCTCTCTTTTTTTTTGTCCTCCAAGGAAAATAAGCTGTGTTAGGTAATGGTCAGACTTATCAAAATGGACTATCTGTGTTAGGGGCATTTGCTCACAGTTATGTCAGTCGTAACATGTTCCTCCTTCCACCCTCAACTGGCAGGGACATGCCAAGAAAGGACTACACCAACCTTGCTTATGAAGCTGTCTTTAGATATACCAAATACAGTTTTGCCAGCACGGAGCCCTACTGATTTCATGCTTCCACTCCTTGAGTATCTGGGGTCCTTATATGTCAAAAGAACACAGGTGATCATTTATTTATAAATGTATTTTGACTCTATGTTTTGGTTACTAAACTATATGGGGAGATGGTAAACAGTGGCCAGCAACTCTGTGATTTGCAGGCAATGAACTTCGCAAGCTGTGAGTGGATTGTGCTTGGGAAGGCTGTTTGCTGGAACAGTAGTTAAATGTTGCCTGCACCTGGTCAGATAAAAGTATTACTTCTAGGGACGTGCAGCTGTTTTTAGGTACGTGCAGAAGCTTGATTCTACAAGCCCAGCACATGCAGGATCCATTTTTTTCAGAGCACCAGGCGCTATGAATATGTAGGTATATTTAAATATTGCTCCAGATCACAGCCAGGTTACTCAAAACCTTCCGAGAGGCAGGATGCAGGAGTTGGTTGAATTTCAGAATTTGTCCCGTGCTTCGTTTTTGTTTGTTCTTAGTCTAAATCTCATTTTGAAATATCTTTCCATTTGAGGATAAGGAGCAAGAGTTGAAAGGGATGTGCTCGATGTTTGGCTTGGCTCTTGCCTTCTACCTGTTGCCAGGATCACAAAGCTGATGGTAGTCAAGCCATGGGAAAAGTGTAGAGAAAGATTACGTGCGTCAGCAACACTTTCTTGTGCTATCAGGAGTACAGTTATCTGTTCCAACAAAATAGAGCGATTTATATTTTGATGTCCTTGAACTTCTACATAAACAGGTGAAGTCAGTTTATTCCCTTGTACATTTGTTTGCATACTTCTGATACAGTGTCATTCTGGTTATACATTTCATAACCTTACCGTGAGAGGACATGAACTGCCATCCACGTCTTTCTCTCTCTCTAACCTTTCTCAGCTCCTTTGAGGGCTAATGTACCATGACCGAGCTACTACCCGGTTGTGAAGCCTGTGTTATTTGGCCGGGAGGACGGGCCATCTCTCCGGGCAGTTTTATAAATCTGTTTGTTGATACTACGCATTCACTAGCATCAGCTACCGGCGTGTGTTACGCCTCTGTAGCAAGAGCAGCTCAGAGGGATCCACCCCCTGAGGTTGGGGCTGCCAATTTTTTTTTTCCTTGTTTCTTTTTCCTATGAAAACGGTTACGGGTGGCTTTGCACGTGAAGCGGAGAGAGTCAGCAACTGTAGGGTCTGAAAATGGTTCTTGCTTGAGTAGGGATTGCTTTTCTGAGAGAATATTGTGCCAGCAGATTTCCAGACAATTCCAGGTTAAATAAATCGGGCTTACAATTATGCAACGCTGTGCATATTCACTAACTCCGAGACTTGTGCTAATTGCATTAAACACACACTGAAACAACGGGAATGTTTGCTTGTCCATTCCAGCGTGGGAGGGGATAAAGAAAACGGAGGGGAATCCGGGGCATGCCTTATTTCCAGCTTATTTCTTTTCGCAAGTGCCGCCTTGGGTGCTTCCCTGCGCAGAGATCGCTCCCATCTCAGCGCTCGCCTTGCCAGAGGAAAGTTTGGAGCAGCCGTGTTTCGGAGCAAGCATCGAGCCAGGAGACCGTTCTTCTTCCCCAGACAGGTGCACCCAAAAAATGCCGCTCAGGGAGCCCCCACGGCTTCACCAGCGGCTCCCGGGGGGGCTCCCGGGGGTGTCCCGGGGCCCGTCGCGGGTGCGTGCTGCCCCCCGCTGGCTGCGGAGGGACTGCGGGGCGGGCACCCCGCGGGTGGAGGAGAGATGCTCCGGGGGGGAAGGCAGCCTTCTGGAGCTACCTGGAGGCTAAACAATGCTGGTTTATTATTAGTATTATTATTTTAAAGAAAAAAAGCTTGATAGAACATCACTGATCATGTTTTAGGAAGAAGGTTCGTGAAGCAGTAGGAGCAAATATTTGCAAACAGTAGTTGAATCCTATACCACTCTTGCACAGGAGAAGAACATGCACATATCTAAGACTCGTTGGAAACAATGCCCTTTTTTTTTCTTTTCCTTTTTTTTTTTTTTTTTTTTCTTTCCTTTTTTCCCAAGAGGTTTTCTATGTACTCTGCTGAGCTGCAGGGATAGCCGGGATCTAGGGTCTTTCAGGTTATTTCTGTTCAAGAAGAGCCTAATGATAGAATTCACTATTCCTTTCATGCAATATTTACAGAAAATTCACTCAAGCATGATGGGACTCTGGCAGAACAGTTTTTGTTTTGTTCGGTTTGGTTTGGTTTCTGGTCTGCTTTTTTTTTAAATCCTTTCTTTCCAGGTAGCTTCTGTTTGAAAGTCTACTCATTTGCTTCCTTCCCAAGTCAGGTTACTCTGGCCTCTGTCTGTTTGTTTCCTACAGCTTTGGGAGGCTGTTCCCCAGCAAAACAATCCCAGGCATTCAGCTTTCCCCTCTACCCTACAATTCAGTTGGCTATTTGTCTTTGTTTCAGATGGCCTTTGCATCTGCTTTAGGTACTAACCCTTTTTTTTCCTCTTTTTGTTGTTGTTGTTTTGCTTTTAACTTCAGAAGGGAGCCTAACTTCCTCAGTCATTTATCTTAACACCAGGATAATTTTCCTAGCACCGGGGGTAATGGAGTCCTGGGGTAGATTGTCAAGGGATTTTTATAGAGTCCCCATCACTGGAGCATTTTAAGCTACGCAAATATTTATCAGGAGTGACACTAGTACAGTTGTCCTGACTCAGGGCAGTGTGATAGTCTAGATGATCTCATGTTTACTCCCCGTCCTATTTTATTGGATTTCTATGATATATACACCTTATAAATAGCCCCAGGTTTATTACTACTAAAAGGGAAAAAACCAGCCTTCTCTCTTTTTTGTATGTTTTTTTCTTGTTCTGCCTACTTATTTGATGGTGCAAAATAAAGAGCATAAAACTATGAGTTATTGTGATTCTGAATTGTCCCCTTACCCTTACTGTTTGGAATATGCTATCGATGCAATTCTTACTCATGCAAAGCATTTGCTGGCTTAATTTGTGCACACACGAGCGCCAGGGAGATAAAGAGACATTTGCAGAAATATAGTCACTACAAAACCTTGCCTGCTTCTTTCAGTGTACCCCTTCAGTGGAAGTTTTATGTGAATAAAATGAGGAAGGCTTGCCCTCGGAATGGACTGGCTGCTTTCAAGGAGTGTTATCATCTATCTGCATTATTTAGACAGCTCTGGGAAACTCAGCGGAGCCCCAGGCTCCCATTGTGTTAGACATTGTGTAGATGAGTAATTAATGGTGGGCCTCCTTCTGTTTTGTTTAATGTATATATTGTATGTATACAATGAATTGAGGAAGATTGCCGACGTGGGGAGTCAAATGGGAAAGGCGATTCTGCAGCCCCATAAACGGTATGGCTGACAAGGAGAAGCTTCAGCCTGCCAGTTGCCTAACTGATGGACACTGCAGGCATGCTCAGGATTTAAAGAAGAACTGAAAAGTGCCAACCTGACAAATTCTGGTGTGCTCAGATGCATGAAGAAAGCACAAAAGGCAGCACGTGTGCTGAAGGAAAAGGTGGAATATCTTTTTCAATTTTTTTTTTCCATATTTTCTCAGCTATGCAGTTTAGAACCAGCTAATTAATTTCAGAAAGATTAAGCACCCGAGCAAAATAAGTCTGAAACTATGACACTAGAAATTTATGTAGTTTCTTGTGCCTACACCAGAGGTTGAATAAAACCTTCTCCCAGGCGGTGGGCTTGATGGCGAGAACACCACAGCCACTGTTGCAGACTCTGGATGGCTGGATGGTGGGGCAGGACAAAGAGGAGGGGTTATCTCCAAGATCCTTGTAATAGCAAGCACTGCCATGCTTGGGGGCAATTTATATGTCTAAATAATAAGTCACTACAATAATTAGTATCAAGTAATTTCCACACACACACACACAAAAAAAAGATGTCATGTGTGGTCTGTTGAGTGCTCATGGACACAGAACAAAACGGTCACTTTATGATAATAAAATATTCATGTGAACATTATATTTTCATTAGTGGAGTGGGAGACTGCAAAATCAAATACAAGTGAAGAGTGTGCTTTCAGTTAAACTGCTGATTTTGCAAAGGGAATTAGACAGCATTAACAACAGGAGAGTATGAGGTAATCATGGCAAATGAACATGTTTTTAATTTCATCTCTTGTATTTAATCATACAATACGAAAATGTTTCTGGGTGCCCCACTTCATTCCTACACGCTTCTGTTTTTTTCTGTTTTTGTCTTTCAGTTCTATTCCTCACTGTGTTATTTTCTCCCAAGTGTCTTACATCAGTAAAGGAGGTTTGGAATATTTTCCCCCAAACCCACAGGGAATGGGAAATGTCCATTTGATTACTCTTCCATCTATTCAGACCATCTAATAAGGAGAGGTAAGCTGCATATAGGAAGTTCAGAATACATCTGAGTTTAGAAATTCACTTATTTCTGTGATACGATGGGGGACTGTAATCGTTTTTGGCTAAGGAATTGCTGACTTTGTGAAATCTTTCAAGGCTACGGAAGTAGATTTTTTAAAGGTGAATAACTCCAAAGCCAGATGTTGCCGGTGTTGCACTCGTCTCTAGAAAGCAGCTGTCATGGCTGGGGATCAGTCAGCCAAGACCCGGTGCACCACCTCCTAGCGACCCCAGCAAAAAAAACTCTTCCTACAGCTGGAGCTGTACAAGGACCTGGCGGAAGCCTCGGAAACACAGCCTCCCAGGTATCTTTTTCTCACACCTTCCAGGGAGCTGAAAGGGCCTTTCATTTCTGGTACAAAACGTTCTGGGTTTGTTTGCTAACAAAAACTTCTTTTGTCCCAACTGACTCGGACCTGACGGAAGGTCCTTGGATAGTGCAGCAGCTTGGCCTTTGTTTTACCTTTCCCAGCTGATGTATCTGCCCCGTAGCTTCCTGTGCAAAGCTGCCCTGGGATAGTGTTCCTCTTGGTAACCACGGGACCTTTTTTTCTTTGTTTAGAAAGGCGTCAGAACAGCAAATGTGCTAAACATCTAACTGCATCACAGTGGTATAAATTACACAGACGCGAGGTATCGATTGTGAAAAGATCAGATAGTTTTAAAGTCAGTGGATGGCTGTCAAGTTGTTAATTGAACATTTGCTGAAAAATGCCTGTGGGTAAGTGATCTAGATACTCTTGCAGGATTATCAAGTTTAAAAACAACAGTTGTCTGCCACTCTCCTGCCTTGGCTACATTTAAAGAAATACCAGCAAGTTGAAAATCGCAATCCCCAAAACATTCACACTCAGACATCCTTACATTACTAATCCTTTAGACTGATGATACTGAAATAATTTTGCAACCCAATTTAATGACTTGCTGATTTTAGTTACTTTTTTACTTTCAGTTAGGAAAAAGCAGATTGTCGAGTTTCTCACTTCTGAAGGCTGTCTTTAATAATAATAATAATTAATTTCAATTTGCTCTTTCCATGTGCAGGTTCAACTTTGTAACTATGCTGCATACACACATCAAATTTACATATTACTTTAAAGAAATATCTTGCCTCCAGTTGGACTCAATAATTTTAAAAAATCTTAAAGTATTCCATTTTAATTGTTTCAGTAGGACTCAGGAACACACAATTGATGAGGTTCCCTTCTTTTTGAAAACAAGCCAACACGATTGACAATATTTTGTCTCACATTAATTAGCTCCAGTAAATTAATTTCTGTCCCTTTTTATGAATAAGCTCAGGAGAACACACTTTTTAGTGCTGTACAGACTCGGGGTACTTTACATAAATTGCAGCAGCTCTGCTCTGCATGTCCACGAGTGATGTTACAGCTGTTGAAAACCATCACAGTCCACATGACCTCTTTTCTCTCAACAAGCACATTGATTTTCTTGAACAAATTTTATACTTTCTCCTTAGGTCTCATGAGTCAGTTATAAATAGATATTCATAATTCAAGTTGTATCTGTTACAGCAACATGGGTTTCAAAGCAAACTGTTGGGGGTTTGGTGATCTGATGTCCTCCATGGCACAAACAACTTGTCATTGAACTACAGGATAATATTTAAGTCTTCCTATGCAGACCTCAAGTGGCCATTAAGTTATATCCATAAGTGAAGAGATTCTATAAGCTCAGCTGGACTGAATCCTCCTGTATGTCTGGTGAGGTCAAATTCATCTCAGCTATCTAAAAGTCAGATGGCTAATGCATTTTAACCTCTAGAGTTCCTCAAAATGTGGTGAAGGGAGAGTCATTCATCCATTCTACTGGTAGATCTGAAGCTTTATAGTGAGTATATTCACAGCATAGTGAGTCTGGATTTATATTACTGTTAATATTGGAGGATATAATCTGTAGCTACATAATGTAGGTATTGGTTGTACAATTGCAACTACTAATTTATCTCAATTTACAAAGAGTTACAACATTAACTTTGTACGAGGAAGTTTATGCCTAGTCAGATACCATCCACTGTCAGTGCTCAGCTCTATGCCAGGCTGGGCATCTTTGATGATTCTATACGCAGCTTGAAACCCTCATGCCATTGTGGACTTGATACTCTGTGCTCTGCTCATGTAACAAAAGCATTCAACTTATGTTAAAAGAAATGTTCAAGATATGCTTTATATTGCTTCTGTCCATTTGTGTTCAGCTCTGGTATTAATGATCACAAACTGACAGCCTAAAATAGGCATGACACATTTCCATCAGAAAATAAACGTCTCTTTCCGCTTGCTGTAAAGGGACTCTGAAGAACTAACTTACACTTGCCCCCTTCCTTTTAGATGGCTAAAAGAAATACATGCATTTGTTTGCTCGCCTGTGTGGATACAATGTGACCAGTTTGTAATTTATCAGAAACAAAACTGAAAACTTCAGGAAACATTTTAGGCATTATGAGGCCAAACCCTAACAATTTTGCTGAAAATCAGAAAACTGGAAGACATCTGTACTTTAAAGTTGTTCATTGCTCTCCAAGTGCTGTGCAACAGCTGTGGGACAGATGCTTAGCCAGCAAGGGAAGCCAGAGAGGAGCGAAATGAAGACATTTCGTTTTTTCCCTCTCCCTCCTCACAAACTGTTTGTTGATGATAGAGAAAGAAGGAAGGCACCAGCTGTTGGGTCATTGTTCTAGAAAGGGCAGAATTACAGGCTGTTTAGAAGGGGGGATTAAAAACAGAAGCCAGAAGTGTCTTTAGTACAGTGGTGAAGATGCTGAGAGGCAGGGATAGTATTCCAGCCATAGGTTCATTGGTGCTTTATTCAGAGGTAACCTGTCCATTTGTATCCATTTTCATCTATACTGATCTTCATTCCTGTGGAATCATAGGAATGATGGTGATTATTAGATTAGGTGATTTTTGGCTCCTGCTGCCTCCCAGCCCTGATATTAATCCTGCCCCTCTCTGTTCCCAGTCTGTCTCATGCATTAACCATGAGATTTCTACATTTGCTCTTGCCTGACCCTTGTCTCCATTTGGCCCACATCTCACACGGATTTGTTGCACAGTCCTCTGCTCCATGAACTGATGTGCTAGACACAGCTGATGGAAAACACCCTAATTTTACTGATCAGATACTGGATCACATGTCAGGTCAGAGAGGACTGGCTGCAGAAACTTAATGCAGTGAGTGACTTTGCATGCTCAGGCATATGGGGATATGTTCCTATTGCAGGGCAGCATGAAGGCTCTTAACACCACCCAATGCACCTTTCCGATTCCTCATCACATTACCAGACATCGCTACTATTTTATCCACTGGCACTGAGGAATACCAACAGATACGTATCTCCCCACTTATTTCTCCTCATCTTCACTTCTGCTTCCCTACAGCAGCCTACCTAACACTACCAGATTGGCAAATCCCAGGGACCTTCAGCATCCCAAGCTGGAACTTGAGGTTTGTCTCCGTATAGAAACGAGACCTAAATATCGAGTGGCCCCTTTTCCTGCTCTCTAGTTTCCATCTGAAACCCTGACTGTGGAGAATGGGCAATATTGAGAGATGAGGGTCCTCGACCAGCTGCATACACTCTGCCAAATGTGTGACATATCTTCACAAGTTAGCTTGAAACTGTCTTTTTATGTGCTTTCTCCTTTCCAAACCAAAAAGTAGGGTGAGACCTACAGCAATTCTTTAACCTCTTTCCCCTTCAAAGTGTTCCAGAAATGCAGAAAGCAGAGAAAGCATTTCTCTGATGCTCCTGGAGAAGGGAGACAGGGAGGACAGGTGGGTCTGTCTTCTCATGACAATGATGACTGCCCTGGAAGGGACCAGGGGACTTTTCTACCTCTATGCAGCAAAACTCTGGGGACCAGGAGACAGGAAAATAAGCAGGAAACTGTCATGTCTCCCATTAAACATCTCAAACACTTCAGCGCTGTCTAGAGCTTATTGATTCCCTCTGAGACTTGCTTTATGCTTACTAAATATCAAAAAGCTTTAAAACAGACAAGCAAGCAAACAAACAAAACCAAAAAAGCCACCACAAAAGGTAGCAAAGCTGTGCAATCTTATTTACAAATAATGTAGCCAAAGTCTCCTTTCTCAAAACAAAACAAAACAAAAACACAAAACAAAACAAAACAAAACAAAAAAAACAGCAAGGAAATACTCCCTCCTGTTCTGTTACTTACATATGCAGATGTACATAACCCCTGTTAACCATTTCTTCTTCCACTGTGTTTGCAGTGTATCCCAAAGAAACTGCTCTGTTCATATATTTCAAAGCAGAGTAAAATGTGGCAGTTGAGTGGTAGCTTTCACTGTTTCTGCCTTTCTCTATGGAGAGCTTAATTTGGTCTGAACATCGTCCTATTACAAGGTCATCTCTGATCCCTTCCAGAGTAATCACATTAACCAAGTTCATGTCATTTTACACTAAAAAGTTGACTATCAACCATTGCCCTCCCATTTTTTCAGACATTACACTCCTCAGACCTGCAAGTGCAATCTATGTCCTCCTCTCCAAATATATAGCCTTTAATTGGTGTTATTAGTATCCGTATTGTTTCTCAGCTGGAAATTCATCTTAGATTACTTCCTGCTTGTAATCTCTCCTCATAATTTCTCTCTTGATCACTGCACTGGTGATACTTGGTAGGTTTTCATTAACAATTACATGTTGAATGTCCACATTATGCAGTTTAATCTCATTTAGTAAATATCTTCTTGATTTTGCTCTGATGTTAATATTTTAATCAGGATGTTATTCAATATCAATGCTTCACTTGAGTCTGAAAGCCATTATTTTGTCAGCATATTTACCTTTATTAAACAAATAAAATAATCAAAATTCTGACCTCATAAAAATACTATTCCATTTATTTAACTTAACCCGTTTTGCATAAAGTCATGCTGACTGGCAGTGATTATGTTACCATGTCTTGTTTCCTTATGGATAGAGTCCGATATCAGCTGTTCCATTCTTCCACACGGAACCAAGGTCAAGTTAACTCATCTACAATTACCCTGTTTACACTTTTGAAATATCTGCACAGCATGAGATATTCTAGGCCCCTTGGACTTCTCCAGTATGCCAAGACTTTTTGACAGAAAGCACAAGTACAAGATTCCTTTTAAAAGCTTTAAATCAAGTTATCCTGTCCTGCCAATCGAAAAAGTTAATAGATGCTCTTTACCATCCACTTAAAGGAATGTCAGAATAGATGTCATTTTAGCCATACAGACTCTATTTTCATTTCTAAGTACAAATCAAAAATATTCACTGAATGTGTCTTTCTTTTCTACAGCTAGCAATGGAACTGTGTCATCTCTAGGGTTTCTTTTGTCCTGATAGTCCTACATGAAGCACAGACATGTTCTTATTATTTTTATCCCTATATTTGCCTAGATGTAGTTTGCATAATGCTATACTGCATTTATTAATACATTTATTAATTTATGTGTCTGTTGGCTTTCAGTTGCTTTCTTAACTACACTTGTTACCTATAATTGTCTTTCAACCATTCTATTAGTATGTGTACATACACACATGTACATGCATATATACACACACTGTTGTCTTGTTCTGTGCAGTAATTATCGTACACATATGAATGAACACTGAATTCTGTGTGCACATCTTTAATCAGATCACTGCCATGTATTTCTTGGCAAGTGCTAGTTTCAAGTTTAGCATCCAATTGCTTTTGTAAGTCAGAATGAAGGACAACACAGTATTACAACATGTTCTTCTTTGTGACAGAAATTTCAAGGTACAAGTTTTAGAATATCTAGGGCATTGTAGGGAATGTGGAACAAGAGCTTGAGCACATATTATTATATTAGAAACCTTTTTGTAGAGGCGACATTTCTTTCTTTATAGATATTTGTTCTTGACTACAACAGTTACATGGGGTGGAAATCATCTCACCTTACTTGATAACTAAATAACCACACCTAAACTAGTCATTCCCTTGGGTGACCATGCCTCTTTCCACAGAGAAAAATAGATATTTTAGAGCTCAACTAATCTGACCTATTTTGGATGTTTACATGACAATGGAATGAATCATGGCCTTAAAGTGTGCCCCCCCCCCAAAAAAAAAATAATAAAGGGAGACCAGGATGATTAGTCCTGATTTCGTTCTCTGCATTTCACACATATACATCTGATCATCCATATTGCAGGTGTTTTTTTTTTTCCTCACTGAAACTATTGTTATATAATCATGAGGAAAATTTGAACAAACAACTGCACCTGTGCATATTCAAGCTACCAAAAATTACTTAAAAGAATAGCTTTTCTTTACAAAAATTACAAAGTGGACTAGGATTGTGAGTTTTTTATTATTTTAGTTAAATTTTATGAAAGCACTTAAAGTTCTTAACTAAACAGCTTTGCACTTAAGTAATGATTATAAATATATACTACTGATCTTTAAAGTTACTGTATGCCAAACAAATAATACTAAACAAATTAAGAAAGCATTTTCTATTTCAAATAACAATTAAATTCATTCAATTTTTACTTTACTTAAATGTTACTTTTTTACAGTTTTTTAGGTTCTAAAATGTGTTTAAAATTTAAATTTTAAACACTTGACTACACAAACATTTTAATAACTACAGAGATTTTAAGTAGTTTTTACCTTTCTACCTGTTTATTTAACAGATGACTATACTGACCTACAGGTATTAGAAAAGAAAGCTTCCGGCAAAGATAATACTCTATTTTGGAATGGATATTGAGCAATTAAGGAAAGAGCAATATTTTATTATTCTTGGCACAGAGGATATTTCTTGGGCAATGACAACCTGTTCCTTTCTATCTTTCCCACCCATGCCACATTGCCGCAACTGTGGCCACAGATGCCTGCACTGGATGAACACCTGTCCAATCTATGCAAGAAGGAAAGGAAATCAAGGGATGGCATGTTCACTGATTTTATGTACACAACTCAACTGTGATAAAAAGATGGAAGAAAGTTAAATTTAGCATGGTTAAGAGGAGAGAGGAGAAGAAAAATGGCTGTGGACTTCAGGAACAGCCTTTGCAGGAGACAGAGCACTGTCTAAATACACTTTTTTTTCAAAGGCTAACCACCACTTTCTGTGTCCGTCAGCCTTTCTCTAACAATGCATCTACTGCAGTGAGCTGAAAGAACCTTACAAAGTTCAACAAGGGGAAGGGCAGAGTCCTGCACCTGTGGAGGAACAACCTCAGGCACCAGGACATGCAGAAGGCCACCCAGCTGGAAAGCAGCTCTGCTGAGAAGGATCAACTTGGGGTCCTAGATAACATCAGCCAGCTATGTGCACTCATGGCAAAGAAAGTCAACAGCCTCCCGGGCTGCATTAGCCAAAGTGTTGCCTTCAAGTCAAGAGAGGTGATCCTTCCCCTCAGTGTTGGCAAGGCCACACCTGCAGTACTAGGTCCAGTTCTGGGCTCCCCAGTAAACGCAATGCATGGACATACTGGAAAGAGTCCACCGTAGGTCCACCAATACAATAAAGGTACTGGAGCACCTCTCCTGTGAGAAAAGGCCAAGATAGGTAGGACTGTTTGGCCTGTAGAAGAGGCTCAGGTTGAATCTGTCAATGTCTGTAAATACCTGAAGGGAGGGTACAGAGAAGGCAGAGCCAGGCTTTTTCAAGAGGTGCCCAGTGCCAGGACAAGAGGCAAAGGGCACAACCTGGTACACAAGAGGCTCCCTCTGAACACCAGGCAGCACTTCTGATGGAGCACTGGAACAAGTTGCCTTGGAGATCTTCTGGAACAAGATCCTTGGAGATCTTGAAAAGCTGCCTGGACATGGTCCTGGGCACCCTGTAAATCTCTGACGTGGAAGCTTTTTACACCAGTTTGCAGGTACAAGTTTGTCCTTTCACATTCCATATTGCAAAGCAATAAATAAATGTGCATAGTGTGAGATACCATAAGCACACTTATCTACGCAAAGACATAGGTTCTTTCTATAGTTCCACAGAATATTTCTCCCTTTTCTCTTGCCCTTAACTACCTTACAACTTCTGAAATGATTTTCATACCGCAGCTCTACAACATAAAAAGCTTTGCAGAACTCAATAAAATCCTTATGTGATATATTAAAACCCTTTCTATATACAAATGTCATGACTTCTGCCCCAAGAGGGTATTCATTTTATTCAAAAATCTGCTTTCATTTCATATTTGAATTGTAGGACATCTCTGGCTGTTGCCTTCCTGACCGGATGGAGAAGTGCACTGTCACTACTTTTTCTACTATTCAAAATGTCTTGGTGTTTTCCTGTTCACTTTGCTCTAAAATAATCTGCGTAACATAAAGGAAATAATTCTTATGTGAGGTAAACATTGTCTATCCAAGATCAAGTTTTTCAGTGTTGTAAATGCACAGTCAAAAGTAGGTTTCAAATAATTGAGCCTTTCTTTAGTTCAGCATCCAGTGAAAGGCTTAATAAACGGGGGAAAGATGGGACTATGAGCATACTAAGTCTACCAGATAGACAAGAATAATCACAGCACTTCCAATTTCTATATTTGCCCTTAAAGGAAAAAAAAAAAAAAAAAGGCATTAAGTAGCCCAGTGTTTCTAAAAATGTAGGTTTCTTGGACATATCCATCACATCATTCTAATATTAGCAAGTCTCCTGCGGTGATCATCTGTCTTTGTGACACTATAGAAAAATCCTGCCTTCTGTTAGGTATGATCTGAAGTGAGAATAGCCACAGTGGTCATATTAATGTCCTAAACATAATTAGCTAATTCCAAATGTTGACATTCATCAATAAATGCCTGTGCATTGCCAACTCATATAAATTTCTTAGTTGTTGCACATAACTCTTTCACAGTAATCCTGACCTTTTTTTTTTTTTTTTTTTTTTCCTGTGGATTTATCTCCACAGAAATGATTACCAAATGAGAATGGTGAGACTTCAGATGAAAATGGATGATTATATTTCACTGTGCCAAGAGAAATTCTTATGACATGTTCCACTCTTAGAGTTGTAGGGCAATTTCTCCATTTAAGGCTCTTGA